GGGTATGTTAGATACAGGTGCACAAACACCACAGTTCAAAACAGTTGCACAAACTGAAGAGAGTCTTATGTGCTGTGCCTTTCACCCCCTTCCTGAGTCTTGAAAACAACCAGAGGTATATAGTACTAAGGGCATCACGATAACAGAACTAATGCCAGCCTAACCTCAGCATTAGATACTGCAAACAAACAAGTTAATAAACTTGTTATAAATTCTCTTGCGGAGAAGTACGATCAGGGTTAAGTTAATACCTCCTTCCACTAATGGCACTGCCCTGCCCTTCCTAGACAATGATCTACTGACAAAGGAAAAGAGCTCTGCTGCTAGCCAAGTGACATCATTTTCACTACTATGGATTCCCATTTGAAGTGGGAATACTCCCAATTTGCAGACACCTCTGCTGCATACAATGTCACAGAACCACCTCTCCTGACACACAAACTGTTGCACACTCTTCCCCTCATGGAGGCATCTGCACTTGTGGGTTTAAGAGTGTTGCAAGCCCCCTGGACTCTCTTGCTACAGCCCATACCCGACTTTGCTTGATCAATGATGGTTTGGAAACCAGGAGTGGCACGTGAGCAGAAGACAGCAACACTGCAGTCTCCCCAATGCGACAACCATGGGGAAAACCCTATTTCAGATCACATCCCTCTACCTGTCCCCGCTGCCCCTGGCATTACATGCAATGCAGATAATATTGGCTACACACACATTGGCAAATGCCAAGCTGCTCAGATGTCCAGATTTCAGAGGCATGTGCATGTGTAGCCTGTACCTGAACTTAAAAACCACTTACTGATTGGTGCTTGCGACAAAGCCGACGACCGAACGCATGCCTAGGTTAGGGTCATGGTACACATCCATGCCAATCACCATCAGCTGTTTCTGAGAAGGAGGAAGGAAGCCCAGCACGGGGGAAAACATTAGTCAAAAATATAACTCCCCATTTCATTGGAAATTGCAGCTGAGCTCTTTATTAAGGGATGTAAACACCAGAAAGAGGCCCAGGTCCTTGGGCTGCCACGGGCCTCATAAAATACACTCCTTATCAGCAGCCAGCTCCTTCTATTTGGCTGTTGTAAGGCCCGGGGGGTACATGACCCTGAGATACAGGGATCTGCTACTGCCCCTGCTTTACAGATAAGTAAGGTGACAGAACCTTACTTGTTCTCTAAGTGGGTACTTTGGGGCTTATTTTCCATGGAAATTAGATACTCAGTACTGGTGGGGGCCTGGCCTGGCCTGAGGTGCCCCAGGTCACCCGAGGAATTTGTGCATAATAGGGACTCAGACCCAGCTCTTCTATGTTCCAGGCCAACATGCTTATTGCTGCACTTTCCCTTATACCCATGGCCTACAAGAGAAGGGAGAAGAGGATGTGCCTTACGAAAGATGTGTGAAGGGGGATGCAAGGAAAGACTAAATCTCCCTTTGGCGCTTTCTCCAGGAGAGAGAAAGACTGGGATGCTCCACAACAGGGAGGTGGAAATAATGCTTGCAAAGCTTACCAGTGGGATGTCTATTCCCCAGAGCTCCCCACCTAGCTTGCAATTCATCTGCAGCAGAATTTTCTGTGCCACGCTCCTTAGTTTGCTTGGCTGGCCAGTGACGGTTCTGGCATTGACAACCTGTGGCAACAGGAAACACTAGAATCAGCTAAATATGAATAACACCAAAGTCCAGCCTACTTTTCCTGTAAGCCACAGATCTATACTAAGTCAGTTGTACTGGTTATATTTTCCCACTGAAAGGCATCTGGCTATAGGACTCTGATAGGCAAGTTTATTTCCATTAGCATTCTATTCCTTGGCTTTGTTTGAAACCTTCCCAAGTACTACAGGAAATAAAATGAAGAATCTGCAACCAACTTCAGACCATGAATTTGCACATGCAATTCTCGAGCACCCGTCCATAAACTGTCCGAGAAGATCTCATTTACTGCCACTAGAAAACTATGGAATCTTAAAAAAAAAAAAAACACTCTCAAAAGGTGGGTGTTGCCTCTGCACTGTCACTCTTTACTGGATGAAATCAAAGCCGTTCACCAGGTACTACTGCTGGTAACAGCCAAAAGAGAACCTCTGGAGGTCTGAAGTTTTGGAACAGGAGGGTCAGTCCTATACCTGTTGCTGAGATCAAAGGTATGCAGCACATGCAGTCTGAGCTGGCCATGGGTACATAGGGGTAGCCATGACAAGGTCTTTAGGGCAAGACACTTTTATAAACAAGGCAGCAATTCACACCACAATTTACGTTTAGCTGCTTATAAGTTGGTTTTATACTCCTGCAGGCTACATGACAATGTAGGTATTGCTCAAGTCACACACAGCCATGTTTCTGACCTTGCCAGCTCTGTTGCTCTGGCAATCATGGTTCTAGTTTATAGGTTTCCTGTATTCCTCATGTAGTATATTCAAACGATGCCTTCAGCATCTGGATAAATGACTAGGGGTTCATTTTACTGGAGGGGTGACTACCTCGCATCAGGTAAACCTGCCTCCTCTCCTACCCACCCTTGGTCTGCACAGTCTCTGGACAGGGTCGTAACAGGAAGCTCAGTACAAATGATGCTTTGTGGTCTTGGAGCTTCGTCTGGAAGACCATGACTTCCATTGCAAGAGCTTCATCTGGATGACCATGGTCTCCACTGTGTCATACCCCCAAGCAGCTGCAATATGACAGTGAGCAGACTCACCTGAGAGGGTACTGGACATTGAACACAGCACAGCTTTTTAATGGCCCCGTACAAGTCATCTCTGGTCCCCGTGATTATGCACACGACCAACTGCAATTTGCCCTTCAAGGAAACAAGTGTAAAAAGAGTCTACTTTCAACATCCTAAGTTTCACTGGATGCTCAGCCCCACTCTGAACATATATTAGCCCTATAATGTGATGCTCACAGCCCTCTTCTTCCCTGCCTTGCCCTGCCCTGCATGTATCACTGCAACAAAGGGAAGAGACACACACTACTAGGACATAATGCAAGGCTTTTTATATGGTCTCCCACAGCATTCCTGCAAGCAAGCTGAGGAAGTACAGGTTGAATAAATGGGCTGTAAAGTGGATACAATACTGGCTGGATCATCTGGCTCAACAGAGAGTGATCAATGGCTTGAAGTTTAGTTGGTGGCTGGTATCAAGTAGAGTGCCCCAAGACTTTGGTCCTCGGGCCAGTTTTGTTCAATATCTTCATTAATAATCTGGAAGATGGGATGGATTGCACCCTAAGCAAGCTTGCAGATGACACCAAGCTGGAGGGCGTAGTAGATACACTGGAGGATAGGGCTAGGATTCAGAGAGACCTCGAGTCATTGCAGGATTGGGCCAAAAAAAAAAAATCTCATGAGGCTCAACAAGGACAAGTGCAAAGTCCTGCACTGAGGACAGAACAATCCCATGCACCAGTACAGGCTTAGGACCAACTGGCTAAGCAGCAGCTCTGCAGAAAAGGACCGAGGGGTTACAGCGGACAATAAGCTGAATTTGAGTCAGCAGTGTGCCCTTGTTGCCAAGAAGGCTAACGGCATACCGGGCTGCATTGGTAGGTGCATTGCCAGCAGATCGAGGGAAGTAATTATTCCCCACTATTATACACTGGTGAGGCCACATCTGGAGTACTGTGTCTAGTTTTGGGCCCCCACTGCGGAAAGGATGTGGACAACTTGGAGAGAGTCCAGCAGAGGGCAATGAAAATGTTCTCAGGGACTGGAGCACATGACTTCTGAGGAGAGTCTGAGGGAACTGGGCTTATTTAGTCTGGTGAAGAAAGGCTGAGGGGGGATTTGGTGGTTCCAAAGAGGATGCAGCTGGTTCTCAGTGGTGGCAGATGACAGAACAAGGAGAAACGGTCTCAAGTTGTAGCAAGGGCAGCTTCGGCTGCATGTTAGGAAAAACTTTCATCACTAGGAGGGTGGTGAAGCACTGGACCAGGTTACCTAGAGAAGTGGTAGAATTTCCAACTGCAGAAGTTTCTAAGGCCTGGCTCAACAAAGCCCTGGCTGGAATGATCTGGTTGGGAATGGTCCTGCTTTGAGCAGGGGGTTGGACTAGATGATCTCCTAAGGTCCCTTCCAACCCTAATTTTCTATCGTCTATGATTCCATAATAATGCAGCAGTATTCATAGGTGCCTACTGACAGGTGATAAAAATGCTCTCCCAAAGCTGGTTATTGTGATAATGCAAATGCTCTTAAGAATAGTTTCAGTACCATTGGCACTTTTACGGTAACATCCGTATCTCATGAGCTGCCAGAAATCCTCACCTCCCTCCACCTGCATGTTGATAACCAAGCAATGGAGACCAGCTGAAGTTTGAAGCACAGGGCTTTGAGTAACAAGCACTGTGAACTACATGGCCCCAATGTTCCCTGGCTGATGGGCTCCCATCCAACTGACTATATGAACTCTAGCAACAATAAGCAAACCTGTGCTTGGCTGAATTATGATAACAAGCACCAAGGTATTGATAGCTGAGCCTTACGAATGATCCCATGACACCAAAGGCATTACCCAGCCCTCCGTGGTACTAAGTGTTCCACTGATAACTAAGGAAAGCAGGCCAAGCCCTTATCACCATAGCAATGCAAAGAAGGTGACAACATCTGCGCTAGATCCCAGGCACAGGATACAGGCAAGCAGAAAGGTCTCTCTCAAGACCAGTATGGATCCTTCTCCCAGCCCCAAGAGCCACCAGAATTAGGAATGTAATAGGATGCAGCTCAAGAGCAAAGAAACAGCACGTACTCATCCCGCAAATACTACACACGGAAAATATGCTATAGACAACCTGGCTTTTGCTCAGGGTCTCTTTCCTATTTACAGGGCCTCTGCAGGGTCTTCCAGCTCCTAGAATTTGTATTCAAGACATGCATAAGTCTCTCAGTAAGAGAAGCCCTGCTGAGTGCAGGCCGCAAGTAGTGCCAATATTAGATCATCACTGATACAAAAAAAATATTCTGTATCAGAAATTGACCCGATGTGGTTGATAATTTGTCTGATAAATGCCAATGCGTGCGCACAGCTGGTGCTCAGCGCATGTAGGCAGTGAGGAGCAGAGCTGGCAGCGTGGAGAGCTGCGTGCAGCTGGTAAGTATGGTGTGGTGGAAGGGGAGGGCTGTGGGGGCGCAGATCAAGGCCCCTGCAGTGAGGGAGGGTGTGGGACTGGGGTTGGGGCAGGGGCTGCCCAGCTGGGGTGGGGCAGGCGCAAGACGGAGCTGCAAGCGGCTCGTCTGGGGAACTG